GACATGAAGTCCTTACAGTGTAAAATTTCCAGATGTTCAAAGTAGATAGATATTAACAAAAAGATATAGATGTTTATTTTTTTCCCCCTCAGAATACTTTCTCTCTCACAGGTAATATGGAGTATCTGCTCAATATCACAAGCCCTAAACCTCCCTACCCACTAACAGCTGTCAGAACTTCTGTACTAACCTCACCTTCTTCAGAGTTAAAAAGGTTATGAATCAGAAAGCATGAGTAACTGACAGAAACCTCATGCTGTCATTTCTTAACTAAAAATACTAAAGAATCCTAAGAAAGAGACTTTAGGGAGGACAAAAAAATACAGATTACACTGGTTCTTTGTAGACTCCAGACTAATCACAATAAATGACTGTCTGTGATGATGGAAGATCAGATTTGATGATCAGAATGCCCATAGTGTGCATATGCACACATCCATACCTGCATATGTGTGTATGTATATACACGTGTCTGTATGTAATAGGAGTAATTCTACTGGATTTCGCCTAAAGCCCAGAGTACCTGAACTCACCTTGGTGCTTCTGTGTGTGACTTTTAAAATGTTGTGTACTTCTTGTTACTCTTTTCTGCATGTTGTGCTGTAAATGCAGCTAGCGTTCTGGTCTTTTGTTCACATGTGAACCAGGACAATATGGAGAACATGGATTTCTTTTGTATTCCTTGTGGGAATGATATTACTGCATTGCGTCTTACTAGGGAGAGGCAAGCTATTCTTACAATAATCAAAGCAAGGTTCTGCTACATTGTAAACTGCATTCAGGAACAAATTATCCTTTATTATTATCTCATTTCTTATATTGCTTTCTGTCAATCAATAATACAGTGCTAAAGCATTATTATCTAATGATTACACTGATGTATGGACACGTAAAATGTTTAGATTTCACGTTCATGATGGAACAGGTTATTAAAGTTTTTAAATTGTACACAAGCTACATGAGTTATGAGCATCTGGAATCTTTGCAGAAAATCAGAGTATTTGATAATAATTTTATAAAGTAAGTGGGTCATGAAGAAGAGAAGAAACAGATGTTTTTCCAATAAAGCATAACGACCTATTTCTATTTTAAATATACTTAAGTATTGTCATGCATAATGCTGTAGTACATATCAATGCTATGTGCTAACAAGGAGGATACATTGACTGTAAAGTATCCTGTTAGAGTTTGTTTGAAGAGGCAATCAAAAGCTTATGTAGTCTATATTAAGACTTAACTAACTTTTTTGTGTTGTATTTAATGGATTAAATAATTCTGAAAACAGATATCACAAGAATTTAATATATGTATCTTAAGCACGGGTAACAAGATCTGAATCTGTTCAGTTTATTGATAAATACACTGAGGATGATATTCAGAATTTTTGAACAAGCATAAGCCAATTCAAGTTGCACAAGATTTCAGCCTTGATACCCCTGGTGCTCATATTCTCTTTGCTATCAGTAGTTTCACACTGCTTTATTCTGACTAATTTATTCTGTCACTTTAACCTATATTCACTTATGTCTCAATTACTTTTGATTGCTGATTCTATCCAGACTATCTCACCTGTAAAACCTGTTTGGGTAGCTGAGTTCAGGTTTGTTTCATAGTGTTATACAGTATCTGGCACAGGAATGTGTTTGTTTAGAACAACATTTGTGTGTTCTTGTATCTCAAAAATGGGAAATTGAGTGTGTGGTGCTCTTTCTGAGCAACAAAAGGTACATGATACATTGCAGTGATTTGTGCTTCTGTGTTCAAATTGGATCAGATTTTTTCTAAAGCTGAGAATAAGGGAGAACTGAAAGGGTAGGTGGATATATTGATTTGTTTATTAGTGCTTGATCTTCTTAATGCTGAAGTCAATATATTTTTAATTTCAGAGTGAGTAGAATCTCCTTCCTGAGAAATGATGAAAAAGTTATTTTCAGGGTTAAGCCCCAGTCTTTTCACTGTCTCTAATCTTCTCCTATTAATAACATAATTTCACTTTTAGGACATGATCTGCTCCGTACTGTATGGAGTACAATGCAACGGGCTGAGATATTACGTGATGGTAATTTCTGATCTATAATGTGTTCATTGTGACAATAGTTATTTATGCGTCTTAAAAGTATTTAATCAAGGAGCATTATTTTTCCCAAGACTCTCTGCAAGGCGTCCTAATTTAGCGAAAGCAGAGCAATCAAAGAAAACGTGAGGGTTTTTTACATAAAGATATACAGGCAAAGAATACAAGCTAAAGAATCATATTGGGAAACTAGACTACTATATGTTATGTTGTAGCTGTTGTGAGAAGAAAGGAACTGCTAGACAGTTCTTTTAATGATGTACTAAAGATATCTTAATCTGAATCACACTACTGCATTTTGCAGTAAGGAGATTGTAAGTCTCTTAATACATGAGACTTGCTACCCGACATTACAAATATATTACTGGCCAGTCTTTCCACAGCAGCACACTTTTAAACTGGGGCTTAGTCAGAACTTGGGTGTGCAGAGGTCACAGCAGGTCATTGGCACAGCCAGTTTCTTATCTTGAGGGACTTTGTGGTGCAGGGGTCTGTACAAGGTGAGCGCTTCTGGTTTGGTGTGTTCACAAACACTCTGCCCGTAGAGCTGAGCATCAACGATTATTTTCATGCGCCTGTGCTACCAGGATTTACTAACTAGGCTGGCTAGTGGTGTGGGGCTTGAACTTGTGAGAGTAGCTCTTAGATGAAAGGGGAAAAAAAAAAAAAGACAGTCTAAGAGAATTGGGTTTGTTCAGTCTGGAAAAGAGGAGGCTCTGGGGTGACTTATTTGAGGCCTTCAAGTACCTGGAGGGAGCCTACAGGAAAAAAAAGGAGAGAGACTATTTACAAGAGCCTGAAGTGACAGGACAAGCGGGAATGGCTTCAAACTCAGTGGGTTTAGGTTAGGTATTAGGAAGAAATTCTTTACTGTGAGGCTGGTGAGGCATTGGAACACATGGCTCAGAGAAACTGTGGCTGCCCCATCCCTGGAAGTGTTTAAGACCAGGTTGGATGGAGCTCTGAGCCACCTGGTCTAGTGGAAGGTGTCCGTGCCCACCTCAGAGGGGTTGAAAGTAGATAACTTTTAAGGTCCCTTCTAACCCAAGGCATTCTGTGATTCTACAAAATGGGATAAAAGCATCTGTTATTGGTGTATGACTTATATAACTCAATTAAATGTGTATTAGGGAGGAACATGTTTTGGCCATCAATATAAACATTTTTTACAACATTTGGAAGATGGATTAGAAGTAATATCTGACCTGTGAAGCATTCAGAGTTTTTATATTGTAAAACCAGACTGTGGTTTCCATTACCTTGGCTCTGGAGTCTGTAACAATCACTGTGATCTCTCTAGTGAATTAATATTTATTACCAATACCATTTAGGCAATGGACAGTTCCTAGTTATGGGTGAGTTAGTACTTGACACTGCTATTCAACTGTAAGTACAACAGCATAAATTAGAAAGGTTGATTTTGTAGGAAAGTGGAGTTCTCCCCCTTACTCTGTGTTCTTACTGTAAGAAGCTGTGAGCTGCCATTCCTCAGATGCTTTGGGAAATGTGCCTCACAGTCATAGAATCATAGAATCATTAGGGTTGGAAGAGAGCTGCAAGATCATTGAGTCCAACCTTTGACCAAACACCGCCTTGTCAACTAAACCAAGTCATAAAGTAAGGAGGAGAAATTGGCTGAAAATCAGGAGTTCACCTCTCATTCATGCTATAGCAAGGTCTGATGAGAGCACAGCCACAGGATGATAGCAAAAGCCTTGAGAGCACAAGTTCAGGACAATATCAGCAGCACCAAGAGTACAAACCTAAACCACAAATGGTAAATTACTGGTCATTAAAAGAATGTAAGTTCAAGATGTGCCAAAGTGTTTTTAGGGAACAGCAAAGAAAATAACAAATATGTGAAATACCACATTTTTGATGGAAGCACAGAAAAAATGATAAAATATAAAAAGCAGTTACATCCTCTTCAGGCATGGGAAGAAAGAAAGAAGGGAGAATTGTTCCTGCATTGCCACTTGGTTATAGGTAATGCATGTTATCAGTGTTTATGCTTAGCAGTATCAGGCCATTCTTCCCCTTTTTTGGGAACACTGCTTTCTGAATTTTTCTTCATCCTATATTCCTTCTGCACACTCAGCAATCACATGTAAAGGATTATCTTCATAAATATGTTTAAATAAATTAGAAGCCCAGCAAATACTGCATGTGTGTTCTGTGCTGTGACCTTCACACACAGGGTGAGTGATACCACAGTACTGGGAAGCAAACTTGGTTGTGATGCTGTCCAAGAGACAGGTTCAGAGCCAGGGAAGGACAATGGTCATTGGTTCAGCTTATCTTGGAATTTGCTTTGCAAGCAGAAAGGACAGGCTGGTTGATTGTCCACTGGTTTTATTGTGGTTGCTGAAACTTTTTACTTGCTCTGACAAGAAGGCAGTAAGTAAATTCACAGAATGGTTGATTTTGGAGGGGAAATCTGGAGCATCTTTAAGCATGGTTACCTAGAGAAGGCTGCTGAGGACATAGCTGGGTTTTGAGTCTCTCCAAGGATAAGTCACTATGCTAAAGCTTAGGACTTTTGTCTGTTTAATTTATAACAGGTGCATTGGAATAAGAGTGTAGGATTTAGAACTTCTATTTATATCTCCCAAATCTAAATTATAACCTTGATTGAAATTGACAAATGATAATTTAGCTTCTCCTATTGAAGCTGAGGTCCTGTAGAACAGATAAATCAAGAAAGAAGACCCCATGATGAGCAGGACTTTGTTTTCTGCATCTGTAATTCCACCTGCCTCAGCAGCCTTTGGCAAAAGATAGGACATAATCCTGGCAAACCGGAAACAAAATCTATTACCAGTCTGGAATAGTATGCTCTCCTTTATTGTGCTTGCAATCTAATTTTGTTAATAGTTTCTTCTTGCTGCTTATTGAAAGAAACAGTATGGGTTGTGTCTTCAGCTTAGCCTTCCCTGGATCTTCCTACTGTGACAGGACTGCTGAAAGGTCAACATGAGAGATGGTGGTGAAAGGAAAGCATGCGAAGTAGCTTTTCGCTTCTTCAGGCTACTTCATATAAAGGTCAGGGGTGACACTAATGTGTTCTTTGGCTGCCTTCTAAAATAAACCGTTCTCTAAAGGTCTGTTTATCCATCTGAATTTTGGACAGACATAGACTCCTGGTTGCAGCTTCACATATGGAGTGGATTAGAAGTGCTGGTAAACTACAACATCAGGATGGGGGTTGTGTTTTAGATACCCAAGAAAGCAAAAGGAAACACCGAAGGTAAGAAATGTTCTCAGCGTGTTTTCGGTACCTGAATTTCCTTATGCATTGTGCATGTCATTTAAATGCTTTAACATAGTTTACCATTAAAGAAAGGATACCCTTTTCTGTTTAAGGACTTGGACACCTCTGGAAAGTGCTGTCTTTGTCATATATGCATGAGCTTATTTCTACTTGCTAATAAGTGCAGAAATAGATTGAATATATATCCACATCCTTGTCTGTCTTTGGTTTTGAATGTAGGTAGTTATTGCTTTAAGGGGTCTCATTAAACTGGAGTATATGACTGGTAGTGATTATTCTTAAACACTTAACTTAGGGATGCTGATATTTGATATTTACAAAGAACTAGACATAAAACCTAGCAAAAATTACATTCTTGCAACTGAATGGATGTAACAGACTTTGAATTTCTTAATGATAAAATACTTAGCATCCAACTTATTCCTCGTGTATGTGTGCTAATGTCACTCTAGGAGAGACTGTGGGGTTAAGAGCATACACAGTGTATATGAGGGCAGTCCATCTCTAGGATTGCAGCTGTTGGGTGGCTCTTTCCTAGTGTTTTGATGTTTGACCAGCAATGAGGTGGTATTTCCCTGTTTGTTACAAGGTCTGAAAGAGAATCAAGTGAATATTCTAACAGCAAATCAACTTCATAAATGGAGAGGCAAAGAAACTCTAGGCAATGAGGAAGGCAGCCTATAGGGCAAGATGTCCAAGAAGGTTAAAACTAAGGGTATGAAGAGACATGTTTGGCTTTTAACAGACTAACAGGTCATAATCTTGATTTTTTTTTTTTAATGTAATAGTGTTATAATGACCAATACAATGTACTTGCCTCATTTTAAATTCAGCAAAATTTAATGTAGATGTTCTGGTTTCAGTGTGGGAAATTTCATATGATACAGTAAAATAGTATTATGCATAACGTAATGAAATCCTAAATTTAATATTGTGTATATAATTGGGAAATATATTCAAATTTGACCAAGGTCTTTAAGGTTAAATACTTGAATCAATTATAAACTCTAGAACTGTGTCTGTGCTTATCATTATATGCGGGAATAACATGAAATCTAGAGATACACAATTAAGTAATGACCTGCCTTCACAAAATCTGGATATAATTTTCAAATTTAAGTCTCAGTAGTTTTCCTAAAGTTTCTAAAACTAATTCCTAAAGGGAAAAGTAGTTTAGCTTTCATTGAAACCAGTGCCTTAGGAACACATGGGTCAGGCTTCAGAAAATACTTCTGATTTGTAAGGTGTGAGCAGTTTCTAAAGCACGTTTCTGATTCCAGCTTTTCAAATTTAAACAAAACTATCCTTAATGTATTTCTGTCACATTTATGGCAGCCATTAATACATCATTCAGAAATGGAGTTATAATGAGGCATTGCTTATTCTATATGCCTTGACTAGATACAAGTGATAGTAACATGGGTGGAATTCTAAACCACAGAAGCCCTTAATGCTCGATGAAAGCAAACATTTATTTAAAAAAAAAAGAAAAACAAACCACAAAAAAGCACTCACCTGCATACAACTTAAAGCAAACAGATGAGTTTCAATAAAAATATTTTTATACTTTTTTCATTTTACTAGCTAGTGAAGAACATGCATTTTTATTTGTGTGAATCCAAAAAAATAGAGCCCCCACTTCTATTCAAGAGTTGTGTTTTGTTTTCCCTCTTGGAACAATGCTGCCATTGCAATATTGTTATTTTCTTCTATCTTCCTTTAAAAAATATAATACAAGTCAAATTTTTCTGTTTTTTGAAAACTTCCTGCTTTTCTTTCCTGAACTAATCAGCTACAGAAGACTCTCCATTATTTTAGTTTACTATGTAAAACAGGTAGAAATTCTCTACCTGTTTCAGCTCTTTCAAATCTCTGAGCAAGCACACTAGACTTCACAAATTGAAAGGCAGAAAAAATAACTTATCTCTATACACTTATAGCCTGAGATAGTAACTGAAAATTGCCCTCTTTGGTATTGTGTAAGCTAGTACTTAAAAATGCCAAATTGTACCTGATAAAGGAATAAGGAAGATTTTTTTTTTTTTTTGTGAATGTGCTTATATCTTAATATTCTGTTAACCTGTTCAGTAACTTCTAAGAACTTTATCCCTTGAAGGAATCTACTGAGTTCAGAGTCCCTTTGAATACAAATGGAGGTTGGTATGACTGACTTAAGTAAAAATGACTTCCCAGACCTGGATACACAACTTTACAAGTAAAACCAGTACCTATTTATCCCCTTCACGAATGGAGGCAGGAATTCTGAATCAACCTATTATTTCAAATATTTTTTTTGTTAACTGCTTTTATTTCCTCCTAACTTAATAACTCAGATGTATGAACTTCAGGTGCAACATATATTCATTTAATTTTTGACTAGCAATACTTTATCTGACACAGGAAGCACACTAGGAGACAGAGTTATAGGTAAAAGAAATCCATGTTTTTAATAACACATCCTAATTTTCCCTTCAGAATCAAAATACAATAATTTGAAATAAGAGGTAATGGTGTCTGTCTCTTAAATGCTTTGTATTCCTACCACCACCTCGTAAGTATTATGATAAGTATTATGATATTCTTCAGGAAGGAAGTCTCACAGACTCAGAAAAAGGCCATCCCAGTGTGCCAAAATGTAAGTTTATTTCAGTCAGACAAGGGAAGTCCAGTTTAATCCAAGCTCTAGGATTAAGCTCTATTCTTGCCTGAAATGGAAGACTGGCCTGGCTGCACAGAGCGCTTCAGATGGAACTCAAGGATGAAAAAAAAATAAATTATGACCTTTGGAAGAAGGGGCAGGCAACTCAGGAGGACTGCAAGGATGTTGTGAGAGTATGCACGGAGAAAATTAGAAGGGCCAAAGCCCAAGGAAAGTCTAATCTGGCTACTGCCATAAACGACAAAACCAAATGCTTTTATAAATACATTAGGCACAAAAGGAGTGTGTCAGAGATGGGATTCATATCTCACCAGATTGTTTGACTGGTGGGTTGAATAAACCATGTTGCCCGTGTGTGCTGGTTGGGGGGAAGAAGGGCCAGGCTTAGACCTGGAGCCAACCCGGCTGTGCCCATGCAGAGCACATGGCAGGGAAAGCCATGGGGCTGGGCTGTCAGTCAGTAAGGCCGCCTGGGGGCCTGCCCACAGCACTCCCCCAGAGCCTGTGGGTGGCTGTGGCACTGCTCACTTTGCCTGGGGGGACAGTGAGTGGCAGGGAGCCTGAGGTCCCGTCTAGGGGGAGCAGCCAGACTCTATACACAAAGATATTTGGTCTCTATCTCCCCTTGGCCTCTGCCCTCCTAGCCTGTCAATGTGTGACCTCCAGAGTGGGAAATATACCTCTCTCCTTTCTTTCTGCCTCTATTCTTTTTTCTCTTAATCTCTCTTCCTTTACTCCTGTGGGCAACTTAAACACCTATTTTCTGTATTTCACCTAAGTTGCAAGTATCTCGCTTAAGATGTATGGAGTTTGTGTTTGCTGGGTGTAACAGAGGTTCCCTTATTGCTTTGTCTTGCTAGTCTCAGTAATCTGCTGTAATGCTTTTGGGAAGTTGCATGTTAATTTTGTAAAACCCTTTTTGCCAAAACACCTGTTTTCTCACCAAATTAAAAGAAATCTCCGAGAGAAAAATTTGTAGTTTTTCTCCAGACATGAACTCGAGGTATCAGAGAATCAAAGAATTTTCAAGAGTTCATGGGGGTGAAATCTTTTGAAATCTAAGGTGCACACCAGGTGAGAGTTTGAAGCTTCTGGACCAGAGTGTAACAGAGGGGTAAGGAGAACTTCCATCTCTTCGTGGGCACAGGGGAAACATAGTGATAAAGGATGGGAAAAAGGTTGCGGTGGTTAAAAATTTCTTTGCCTCAGTCTTTAATAGTAAGACCAGTTGTTCCCTAGGTATGCAACCCCCTGAGCTGGAAGACAGGAATGTGGAGCAGAATGAAGCCCCCATAATCCAAGGGAAAATGGTCAGTGACCTGCTACACCACTTAGATGCAGTTCTGTAGGGTCAGATGGGATCCACCCAAGGCTACTGAGGGAGCTGGGAATAGTGCTCACTGAGCTGCTTTCAATCACTTACCAGCTGTCCTGGCCAACTAGGGAGGTCCTAGGAGTCTGGGGATTAGTAAATGTGTCACCCATCTACAAGAAGAGCTGGAAGGTAGTTATGAGGAACTACAGGGCTGTCAGCCTGACCTTGGTGCTGGGGAAGGTCATGGTGCAAGTCATCTTATGTGCCATCATGTGGCACATGCAGGACTACCAGAGGAAGAGACCCATTCAGCATGGCCTTATGAAAGGCAGGTCCTGCTTGACTAACCTCATCTCCTCCTATGAGATAGCAATCTGCTTAGTTAACAAAGGAAATGATGAGATGTTGAATTACCTGGATGGTAGTAAAGCCTTTGACACTGTCTCCCACAGCATTCTCCTGGGGAAACTGGCTGATCATGGCTTGGACAAGTGCACTCTTCACTGGGTAAAAAATCTGGCTGGAAGGCTGGGCCCAGAGAGTGGTGGTGAATGGAGGTAAATCCAGTTGATGTTTGGTCACAAGTGGTGTTCCCAGGGTCAGTACTGGGGACAGCCCTGTTTAATATGTTCATTGTTGACATGGATCGAGTGCACCCTCAGTCATTTTGCAGGTGACACCAAGTTGGGCTGGAGCGTCGATCTGCTACAGGGCAGGAAGGCTCTGCAGAGGGATCTGGGCAGGCTGGATCCATGGGCTGAGGGCAATTGTGTGAGATTCAGCAAGGCCAAGTGCTGGGTCCTCCACCGGGGTCACAACCACCCCCTGCAGCACTACAGGCTGGGGGCAGAGTGGCTGGAGAGCTGCCCAAGGGAAAAGGACCTGGGGGTGCTGATTGACAGCAGCTGGAGGAGATTGTAGCCAGATGGGGGGCGGTCTCCTCTCCCAGGTTACTAGCATTAGGATGAGAGAAAATGTGTTCAAGTTGCACCACAAGAGATTTAGATCAGATATTAGGAAACATTTCTTCACTAAAATAGCATTGGAACAGGCTGCCTGTGGAAGTGCTGGAGTCACCGTCTCTGGAGGTATTTAAATGGCATGTAGATGTTGCACTTGGGGACATGATTTAGTGGTGGACTTGGCAGTGCTGGTTTAACAGTCAAACCTAATGATCTTTAAGGGTCTTTTCCAACCTAAATTATTCTGTGATTCTGTGAATCTGTGATATAAAATTGAGCACAAAGGAACTAATGAGAAACCTTCAGGAGTGAGAGAAATATTAATGCTGGCATTATTCTTTCTTTTCTAAAGCTGCATTTTTTATTTCACACTGGAGAGAAAGAGTTGATACCGCATTAATTGCCTTTTTTTTTTTTGAAGCAATTTGATACAATCCTTCAATAGAAAATTCCTAAATAAAAATCACAGGAAGGAAGTTTTATCTAAAAATCATGAAGCTATGGTGTTCCTTTGATAGGCTTAAAATGTCAGAGAAGTATTTTTGTGCATTTTGAAGTTTTCCCAGTGCCAATGTTGATTAGTGATAATGACTGTGTCATGTGAAGAACTGAATGCTTTCACGTTCAGATTCACTAGGCTTATAAATAATGTGCTTGGTATTATCAAAGCAGTTATTACCATAAAAATATAGGAAATCAGGATATCTTAAATTCTGTTTAATAAGTAATTATAGTAGAAAGAAAAAGACCTGTAGACCTATTTTCCACAAATATGGAAGAATATATTTATTTATACTTAGGTTACTAACT